AGATTTCTTACCATATATTGGAGTATGCCAGCCAAGACATGGTGATGGTATGATTATAATTCAACACATATTTGAAGGCGGGGGACATCAGGTTGATGAAGGTTGGCATATGTACCCCCTTGTTGAATTAAGCAATTTCATCTATCTGAACCTAGTCATCACCTTAGGGAAGATATATGCGCATTGAATTATCCTTCCAGCCAAACTAAATACCCAGATAGATTTCAAAAGTGCATTTGATTCTGTAATTGTGTTTAAAGTCAAAAGCCACTAATATGTTGCATGAAATTCTTGCTCTTATACCCTGGAGAAAAGAAAACCAGCTATTGCAATCCTGAGAGCATTACCTAGCTATCTGGGTTTCAGTTCCGAGCTTGTTTATAGGGAGAGACTATTCCGAGTTGTGGCTTAGCCTTAATTATGACCATCAAACATACCAGGTGGAAGGCAGGAAGTTTATCATGCAGCACACTAAATATGCTGAGATATAAGTAAAGCCTAATCATTCATTAAGAATTCAACTTATTTCTAGTTAAATTTCTCCCATATTATTATTGAGATTTTAATTAATATGAAGAAAAAATGCTGACTGGAATACCCTCTAATAGAATGCTGCCTAGAAATAACCAGGATGATGGTATTTACCTTTTCGTTCTTTTGCTGCTGTGTTAGAACAAGCCTCCAGTGGCTTTTTATGTGGAAATCTTCTCAAAGGGTGTGGTGGGGAAGCCGTTTCTATGACTCAGTGCAGGGAATTCCCTGATGATTTTAGATTTTTATTTTTATTTTTTACTTCTGCCAAGTTTCCTTTTTAACTCTGCAGAGAATGGTGGATACAGAGTGAATTACAAAGACCTATTCAGAGCTGAGACATTCCATTCTGGAACTTTGCTTTTATTTTTAGCCATTCAAAACCAGCCTACGAAGTAATGAAATAGGGGTGCAAAAGTCCCTGCCGCTATTCTCAGTGCCAAGAATCTTTTTTTTTGGGGGGGGGGGGTCCCCTCTGTGTGAAAAACAGCCCATGTCCTTGAATGATGACTGAGTCACTTCTGTCCTACAGGAATATTTTTATCCGCATCCTAATGAGAAAAATTGTGTTGGCGTTTGGTTTTTCTGGGAAACAGTTCCTATTAGATGTGAGGACGCACGCACACGAGCCAGAACTCTTCTCGGCAACACACAGAAGTGCATGTTTGAAGGAGTTAATTATGGCTTTTTCTGGTAGGCTGCCAAAATGAAAGCTGCTCCAGAATTTTAGAAAAACACCCTCTGTTAAGCCCTTTGGATTTGTATGGTGCAAACAAAGCCCACTTAAGCAAAAAAAATGTAGGGACTTCAGCACAGGAAGTGAATGTGAGAAGCCACTCTTAATCTCTTTAATTAATTGTATTTCAGAGCGTGTTAAAATGAAGGGAAAGCTTCAGTTTATATTTGTGAATTTAACTTGTTCTGGGATTTTCCCCCACCTTGCCTTCAGCTGTATAAACAGGAAGGCTGTGCCTCTGTTTAGTTAGCCTGTTTCCCTTAGGTAAGAGAAGAAGCTAATGAACAGCTTCAGAAGTGTCAGGATTGGATCTCTATTCCCTGGATGGACATAACCTTAGGACTGAATCTCCTGTGCAGAATCTGGCATTAATTTGAGCAGTTAGACACAAACAATAGGCAAGGATCCCATTTCCCCCCCCCCCCTTCTTTTCTTCTTATTTTGCTAACGTGCTTGTGTTTAGAAATAAGTTGTGGCATTTGGCATTTCAACTTCTACACTCCTATCTTAATAAAAAGAAACCTAAAGTCACTGTGCATCAGATTTTAAAGAATTAAATCTTTTACTCTAACCATACGGAAAATAAAACAACAGGACTCACCAAAATCAAAGGATCTCTCTCTCTCTCTCTCTCTCTCTCTCTCTCTCTCTCTCTCTCTCT